TGATGCTGTCAAGACAACATCCTTGGTATTTGCACTCATCATGTCAACAGGTTATTTCTGGGTTCTCCTGATGGCCTCCAAATCAAAGGCAAACTCTTTAACTGCCCATTTAGCTCTCCCAGTAAGCCATGGCCTACCTTAAGACCTCTGCACTGCTTCCTCTTCAATCTCACCTCAAGTTATCATCCATACAACCCATTTTCCCAGGCAAATCATCCACTGCTAATACCAGTTACCAATTCTGCAATGTGGACACGGCATCTGGTGCTCCAGGGACTCCAAAGGCAAGTTCTCACTCTAAGCACTTCATTACACAACCAGAAAAGAAAGTCCCAAGCAGCCAAGTGACCTGTGCTTGACCATGGAATCATCTTGAGTATGAAACCCGTTTCCCATCTTTCACTATAAATGTTCTTTTCAGCGCTTTTTCCCACCGTCACCAGCAAACTTCAAGACTCCAAGGAACTCACTTAAATACAGGTCTTCTTATACAGGCATAAAGTTTATACTTGGGTTTGTTTATCTGCCATGATACTGAAATGTATGACTAAGCCAGTCAACAAATTAGAAGGTAAAATCAATGGAAGCAATTATTTGCCTTGGTATAGATCAAATCAACGGAATATCGTTAACAAATAGTATTTACTGTTTCTGGATTCTTCCTTAATCTGAATTGTTAATGACATTATTTAGGCAATTATCATCTCTTCCCATCTCAATTATATATTTTTTGAAAATACGAACTTTATTTTATTCATCTTTGAATCCTTCACTCACTGTCGTATCCAAGTATCTTGTTCTTTTCTTCATGTATAGTGAAAATAACTGCTTATTTGTTGAATTAAAAATGGATTTTTTATAATGCTGAGCTTTCTAACTTTGCAGTCTTTCTTACTTAACCTATTTTGCTATAATTATTCACTCACTTTGTTTTAGTTTGATATGTGTTCCCATTAAATATCATAAAAACTTAAAAAATGACTTTTTCTTTTTTCCATCTTGAGAGTTCGTGTGTGTGTGTGTGTGTGTGTGTGTGTGTGTGTGTGTGTGTGTGTGTGTACATTTGCCACAGCACCTGTTAGGTGGTCAGAGAATAACTTACATCGATCAGTTATCTCCTTCTACCTAGGACCAAACTCAGCAAGAACCTTCACCACTGAGCCATCTTTCTGGCCCAGACCATCAATTTTTAAGTAGTCTTTTGGAACAAGTAGTATGCAAATTTTTATATACTGGAGTTTCTTAAGGGACAGTATATGAAAAAAAGAAGAAAACATTATTTGGTATTATAAATTATGATCAAAAAAGCTAAGCCTTTTTCTTAATCTCCAAGCTCTGGGGAACAGATGACTTCCTAGACAAATATTAGTGCGTTTGAATGCATGTCTTTGCCAATGTGCAGAGCTCTCCATAACCCATCTTACTGGGAATTCTAATTAGGAAGAGACTCCTCTCTGCTTCTCTTTCACTTTGGCCCTCCTACAGTCTCACCCCAGAGGTTCCAGATTCTTATCCATGAAGTGATTAGGGTCTGGCCCTGACTCAGATTTGTAACAAATGTCCATGGGGATCCTTCGACCTATCATTGACAAGCAGAGACAATATATGTCTTCCAGCCTAGTGAATTCTTTCAGCTCACCTCAGAGATCTGCTGCAACGCTGTATGGTTAGAGGCCTCCTTTCACGAATAATAGAAATGACCTCAATGTAGAAAATAGAAACTCAAGTCATTGTATGGTGACTAACATCTACTACTTTAGTGCACAAACACTGCACTGTGTGTTCATTCGGGGGCATCTTTTGAAGTTTTGGGTCTAATTATCTCTAATTTAATTTGATCACTGAATGTATGTATTAACACCCCAATGTATCTCCAGCCATAGGATTAGCATAACACTTGTAAGAGTGGTCTACAATGACACCAGAACAATCATTAACTTGTATCCTTAATCTTCCAGAGAAAGAAAGACATGAAGCTAATAAAAAGAAACGGCTTTCTTTTGAATGTTACCATATCAAAATGTTGCTCTGATAGCAGCCTTGTAATTGTTTATAAGTAAAACATAGCCTGCTAGTCTTTTTCAGTGTGGCATTCCCTCCTTTTTAGCTGCTGTTCTCAAGATACATTTCTCTTTTAAAATATAAAAATAAAAAGTGTTTCCAAAGAAAGAGAAGAAAAAAGATCACAAAGTACATTTTTGTTACAAACTATATAAAAATCTGTCACTATTTATGTTACAAGTCTAGTCATCAATAAGGTGGGTTTTTTTTTCCAATGTACCACTCAAAAATCAATTATATCAACTCGTTTGTGTAGAGGAGAGAGCACCTTTCCCGCAACTAGTATTAATGAGCAGACGTGACTATAGAATCTCCATCTGTTTCTCTGACAAAGCTGTGGCTTCTCTGGTCTCTCATTGAAATTCCATTAATCTGGTGTATCAAGGTCCAATGTGAAAATCAAAACTCCATCTTACCCTTTATCAGCTCTCAATAACCTACATGTGAACTCTGCCTGTTAGCACGCAGCAAGTTATGGTTTTGCTATCCATCAGGCAGCTGGCCAATAAAAAAATAAAAAAAAATAAAAAAAAAGGAGCCAAACAACAACAAGCAAAAAAAAAACCAAAGCAAGCAGGCTGGAAAGAGCATGTCTGGCAGGGTTTGATTTGAAGATCTTGTTTTTGTTTCCGGTGTCAATAGGGTATCTGGACTTGGTGAGACTGTGCGTTATTCTCCGTGGCTGTGATTTAATTGCTACCAGCAATCAAGTCGAGGCATCACTGAAGTGTGCTTGAATTTCATTAGAAGATATAACTTATGCTACTTTCCTACAGTACCTAATAAACCATAAAGAAACCAAAACACATATGGCTTGAGGGAATAACTGGAAAATTAGGTGGCCATTTGGGAACTGGGTGAACTTTTGAACCAGAGGAACAGAGAAAAAGAAATATTAAAGGGAAAGGCAGACTTAGAATTCACAGAGATGTGCAGGTTTGACCTTTGCAATACCTTGGAAATTACATTAACTCTATGAAAAATACATTATCATGCTTAGAGTTTATAATCCATCAACATTCAGATACTGTTAGTGCCTACCATAAGGTAGAAGTCAAAAGGACAACATAGCAACCTGACTTGAGAAAGGCTGAACTAGTTATACTTATTGTCAAATGCATTTTTTGTAATTAGCACATCATTAGATTGATCATAGTAAAGGAAATCATACAAATCAAAGAGAATACAGACAAAATCTAAGCTGCAAAAAAAAAAAAAAAAGAAAGAAAACCACACACACACACACACACACATGAGATGACATGCTGGAGTAAATGTCCAGTGACTGTCTGAAAATTAACCATGTTCTAAGAAAATGTAAAGCTGCTACAAACCTATTACTAATATATCAAAATGAATCACAATGAAAGTAGAATGTCTCATCTGCTTAAGAATTTCTTAAGCACTAATAAATAAGCATAGATACTTAACAAAAAAAAACTGGTGTAGATATAAACATGCCATTAGATATCTTTTAACAAGTTTTTCATACCAATATATTTCTTCTATATTTTGATTTTTGAGAACACATGAAATTTTTTAAAATTTGGTTAATATTTATTTATTGATGGGAATGGTGCACGAATGTACCACAGTACTTAGGAGGAGGTCAGAGACTAACTTGTGAGAATTCGTTTTCTCTTTCAACTGTATAAGTCCTGGGGATGGAACTCAGGTCTTTAGGCTTAGTGGCAAACGCCTTTATGTGCTGGACCATCTTACCACCCCCCAAATTATTTATTCTTAATAAAGAAAACAATAATCCCAAGAGTATTCTATGATTTAATAACAATTCACTTTTCTAAAATTCACTCCTTCCTTTAATGTAAAATGGATCTGATTATCACCACTACGCATTGGACAAAGTTCTGGATATAAAAAAAGATTGTTTTGTTCTGAGTCAGTGGTTAGAATGTTTATCACTTATGCATGCACTTGACTTATCCCTGTTCTGCAATAGACATAATTTTATACCTCATAAAAGCAATTTATGTTTCCAAAGGGAATGATCTGGATAGCACAGAATGTGGAGTGTTCTGATGCAGGAAGCGCATTTTCATTCAGCAAGTGTGCTTAGAGACAGAACTGCACAGTTTGATCATCATATGCTGGCAAAAAGCATCCTTCATTTCTATGTCTATGCAAAACTCTGAGTGGCACAAATTAATATGCATAGCTAATGCACTGGTATGCATTCTTAATTTATAACTATAGATCACTTGTACGGGGTTTCCAGAGTGCAGATTCACTTGACTAGCTATCAAAAAGGAGGCACTCACTGTATCCTAAAATTAAGATTCATAACTCTTGACATAGTCCATAGATTTTAAAAATTACTAAAATATAATCAATCAACTCTATTATTAATTCAATTAATACCACATACCAAACTATTAATGCATAATATAGGACAACTTTAAGCATTAATCAGAAAAACGAAAATGTGTAGTAAAAAGGCATTTGATAAGAAAAAACTCACAATATGAGAAGACAATGTAGAAATAATTGATTTAATATTTTATGAACTCATTTTGCATGAAGTTTTAAGAAAAAATACACCAAATATCTTTTTTATTATTTATACAATAAATAATACAAAAAAATCATTAAGGGGCACAATCAAATATTAAGCAAGAATCTGATAATATTAAATTAACCAACAACTGTTACTAAGAACCTTCCCATAATAATACCAGCGCTTGCCTAAAATTTCTAGCAATGAGAATCTCCTTTTAAAAAAGAAAAGGAAGTAGTACCTACACACTTAAGTAGCCTCCCTAGGACCACTAGGGAGAGCTCTTCCGTTCCCGGCAAGGTTCTGTTAAAGGTGAGGTCCCCTGGCCTGTACTTTCTGCTTTCTTATAAGCCTGCTCCCTCTGCATGCAGCAGTTTTGTATGGCCCTGCCAAGAGGTACATCCTATGGTAGAGCATCACATACCATCAGAGGGGCCGTCATCATCTTTGTCGTAGCGCTCTGAGGCTAAGGAAATGGTGTCTGGAGGCCCAGAAAAAGGGTCGTCATATTCATCCCCCTCATCAGCATCACCTGCAAACGAATCAGAGAAACGCCCTTTATGACTGTCCCACTGACAACAACCGTGCCTGTCACAAGAAGCCACACTAACCATTAAAGTTAGTCACTGAAACAGGAAAAAAACAGACAAAATATTTTTGAACTATGTAAAACCCAGGTCGGACTTTATTTTATATGAATCATAATATAGATGCCTTAGTAAGTATGTCTAAAGGTCAGCAGACAAATGCTTACTTGAAACCTAAAAAGATCCAGTCCCAAGATCAAGAATGTTTCTACAAGTTCAAAAAACAGAAAGAAAAAAAAAAGGATTAAGCAAGACAAAGTAATTAACAAAAACTGAAAAGCAAAAAGCACAACAGAGAAAATAATTCAAGTAATCCCCTTTACCTCCTCAATAATTTGAAAAATTATAATGAGAAATTGACTATGTAAAGCCACATGAACACTGTTTTCATTAAAAAGTCACCACAGGATTATATTAGATTAAAAATAGTTACATTTCCAAGAGTGGGAATTAATTAAGAGGAAAATGCCTTAAGACTCATATAATCCCTCTAAATTTAAATACAATAATCTATAAATCCTTTCCATTTTCACGAAGTGGTATATAAGCCACTGTTTTCATGTAGTAGCCTGTTTCCTATTTGATTCCCAAATCCTAGATTGGTTTGTAGGGGTTTGCTTATCTGCTTGCTTTACATATTTAATTCCCCTGATAAAAGCATGTGGGTTTTTTTCCCCCCATGTACTTGGTTAAAAAGTATTTTACTACTTTTTTAAAAAATGAATTAGCTATTTGCTAAGCCCAGTTATATACACTCATTTTTCTTATGAATTCAACAACACATAAAAGCATATGCTTACTAGTATACTATTTCTTAACAACTGAAATTATCTGTTAACAGATGAGGAAATTTTGCCAGAAGGGGGTGTGTGCATCCTAGAACATCCATCTGATGGCTGCCTCCTATTTTCCTGTCCATTTTGAATACAAGTTGCCTCCTTCAAGACAACAGTGTCTACATAATTTAAGAACTAAGTGTTAATTTTTATTTTATTTTGATTGTGCTATTTCATGAGCAACCATCATCCTTATCCTCAAAAACATGAAGATGGTGACATCCTTCCTAAAGACAGTATCAGAATACAGATGGCTATCTCATCATCTTTACCAAGTCTGTCGCTGATCCACTAAATATGGTAACATATCTTTCCCAGCTAGAATTCCACAGTGCATATAGGTGCTACCATCTCTTCAGAGCTCATCTTTCTCCGGATGTTCAAAGTACTCTCCAGAACATAAAAATATTTCTCTTATGAAGACAGTACTGATTACAAACATAAAAAGGAGCCTCATAAAATGCTACTAAATTATTTGGAGCATGTTGTGACGGTACATGGGATATACAGTAAAGGTCACAGAACTCTCAGTTACTTTTAGTTGCTATGCCCTATTTTTAATGAGGTAAGATTTGTTATATTAATTTTCTAAGGACACTTGACTTTACACACTAAAAAATTAATAAACCTGGCTGAATGTTTAAGGTATCAGGATACGTCATATATATTACCAGAACTTAGCGTTCAGTATATCAGGTGCTATTAACTACATAAAACAATAAAGCTAAGTAATCTATTGAAATGAATTCAGATACTCATGCCCAATCCTCACATTCTATATGGAAATGACCAAATAAATTAAAACTTCTTTAAAGTTTTAAATATCTGTAATTTAACTTTTGATATTTCTGTTATCTATTTTAATGTGTATGCAAGTGACCATATATACATAGGGCTATATACCAATCTATTTATTGTATGTAAATGCTATATATAACAAAGATTATAAAAACCATAACATTTGATGTAAGAAAATGTACTCTATAAAAATCTGTCAGAAATATGGTGAAGACCTCTCTGGCTTTGTTTACAAAAAAAAAAGAAAGAAAGAAACCACACTTTTTGGATTATATATGAAAATGAAATTGTCTTCAGCTTACTAATTATAAAGAACCAAAATTGATTGAAAGAATTGGTTTTTAAGTCAGTGTGATATTTGTATTTATCAAAGACAACTAAATTAAATACTGCTATGAGACTGTTTACTTCCCTTGTCCATGCCACCTCTTGTCACCACCCTCTGTTCCCTCCAAATGTACAGGAATCTATAGAGTATCTCTGTTGGGGGGCATTCTGTTTTTAAAACTGGATTAAGTTGAAAGAATACTACTTTTCAGCATGGCTTTACTGCACTGATAAGCCATCCCTTTACCCTGCTCTGATTCTGATTTCCAGCCATTTCTCCATCCGATAAAGGGGAGATAAAGCTGTTCTCTTCTGAGGCTCTATAACTGAACACAGGGGTCGCTGTTGAGTAGCATACAGCATCTTTCTTCCCCAGGGCTAAGTATCTATAGCTATACCTGCAAGGGCTTCTATAAATTAAAGGGAAAATGTTCAATGTGTGTTTATGTAATAAAATGCTGAACTCGAACCAACAATGGGCATCAGGTAAACGTATCCAATACAATTTACAGACATAATTGAAAGCATTACAGACTAATCAGACATCTAAAAGAAAAGCATGCTGGAATGTAATGTCTGCAGAGTCATTAGTTGGCAGCCATTCTATTACAATCACACATAATGTCCGTGGTGCCTTGAGCCTGTGCCAATGACAACAGCATAAATTTTGCATCTCATTTCTGTGGTCATAAAATTAATGATCAGTTTAAAAATACTTCTTTGTAAAAGTTATTGCGCAAAGAAAAGACATGAATGTGTCCCTGTTATGTACTCACAAGGATAATTATGGGGTTGTTGCTCATTAATACTGTTTCTTGTTTCCCTAGAAAAGCATTTGATTTATCCTACAACTTTCAAAAGTTTAATTAACGATACAAAGTTAACCATCTAAAAGACAATGATCCAAGACTTCCCTTCCCTGCGTTTTAGTGGTGACTCCAAGGCTTCCCTTCCCTGCGTTTTAATGGTAACTAACTCCAAGGCTTCCCTTCCCTGCGTTTTAGTGGTAACTAACTCCAAGGCTTACCTGTAACACAGCAGCACAGGCCCCTGGTAACTACTTTGAAATTTATAATACTGCTGGCCATCCCTTTTCACACGGCTTATAATCAATTACCATTTTCTTAGATGCCTACAGATGCAGCCAACAGCTATCGCACAGTCATGATCTCTACCTCCACTGAAGGCATTCTGCCCAATTTATCACTTATTTTGTCAAATACACTCTTATTGTAAATATAATCACGTAATCAGCCAAATATACCTAAAATTTATATACATATTAAAATACCACTTGTACTCCATAAATATGTATAGCTGTTAACTTAAAGGAAATTACAACTAAAATACAGTTTAGAGAATAACTGTTCCCTTATAAAGAGCATCAAGGACAAAGTTTGGAGAAATACTTCCAAGTGAAAACAAATTCATTTCTAACTATCAGTTCATTCAACCAATCTGACTTCTCAAGTAGTAATATACAGCTAATCATACAGAGTTGTGCAGTTACTTTCTAATTTCTTAAGGGAATTTCAGATTTTAAACCGCTAAATGACACAAGATTTTTCCTCTCATTCTTAGAAGGCTTACTTACAGCCAACGAATAATAAATATAATTCACACCAAACTGAGGCAGAGCTTTGAGATAAGGCCATCATTTTCCTGGGACTGCCTTGGAAATAGGCTTCTAACATTACAGGCTCCATTATCTCAAACATGTTTTTAACACACTTGTACAAGCATGAGGAGGGAGCGGTGGTGGAATGGAACTCCTGGAGTTTAATTTGCTCAGATTTCACTGTAGAGTTAGCTTTCAATTGAAAATATACTATGTGAGGAAGGGTAAAGGAAAGGAAATTAAACTCAAAGACCGACTCTTCCATTATTCTGACAACTCCACTAGGACAAACTAAAATGTATCCCTTCTTACCTAACGGTCTTGCTATTTTTAAAAAGTGGTCCATTAACAAGCTTAGATAACACAAATGGTCAAGGCCATTGCTTTCTAAACAAATCTGAGCATATTTAAAAATACTGATAAGAGACTTGAGGGCAAAATCTATTAAATTTTTTCACAATTAGATTGAAAAGTGAGAGCACTGGAGCTGTAGCATCTAAAACAATCACGTTTAAAGACTAGATGCTGGCCAGCACTGCAGCTCTGAGGAAGTACACACCTAGTAAGCCCAGCACAGGAAGAGAAAGAGCAGGGAAAAAAAAAAAGGTAAATACTAGTAATTACAAAATTGAGAAAATATTCTCTTGAAATAGTGTTCATTTAATATCTACTTCTTTTGATGATTTAAACATTTCTAAAAACTTTTTTCAAAACTAAACTTCTGAATCAAAATTAACTTCAATCTTCTTGACAAAGTTACACTGGAGAATACACACTAGGCAGTACTTACTAAACATCTACTATGTGTTACATTATCTTATTCCAATAAATCCATAAAGGAAATAATGCCTAAATCATTTCTGAGACTAATGCAAGGTAAAGATTTAACTAGAGCATAACTATTTGTCATGGACCTAATATATATTAGAAAATTCTAGCTAATGCTCAATTACTAATAATAGTCTTTACAAAATAGTAATGTGTAAACTGAAAACATAACTATTTAAGTCACTTTAAGAGATCTGTGATGGAAAACAATTAAAAATAATTATGTGTTATGGGTATGGTAGTGTACAACAGTGATCCCAGCTCTTGCGAGTCAAAGGCAAGGCTGAGCTAAAGGCTAGGCTGGGCTAAAAAGAGAGACCCTGTCACAACAAAAAATTTTAATCATATAACACAATTCCAACGTGTAGAGAGACCTTGAACTACAAGGTTAGGATTCAGGAGAGCACTTGATACTGTAACTAAGAAACTAGCATTATTTATCTGTCTTGCTCAAGAGTTCTATAGCCATAAGGACTTTTTTATTCCAGATAAACGGGCAATGTTTCTACTGAATACCAGGGACTATACCAAGCAAACTATGATTCAAATATTTCTGCCTAGATTCAAATATTTCATAATAAAAATTAAGGCATTTCAATAAAACAACTGATAATTATTCTAAAGGTAACAATTTGACAGACCTATCTAATGGGGAATCTATGCTCAATTATATAAGGAGAACCTTCAAAATCAAATAAATGGAAAGGGAAATTTTAAAGCAATATCTTCTTTGGAAACAAACATAAATCATGGGAAAGTTTAGCAGTAAGCCTCAATATTTAAAAGCCACTGCAGTAAAGCAAGTTATTCTCATAAAATGTAGGACTACCAAAGGAAATCTCCTAAGATCTATACAACTTAAGATTGCAACTAGCATATCAATTCAACTAATTTTAAAGACTGAACACTTCAACCTGTAAACTCTGCTTTAGTAAATCCCAAGATGGAATTTTTTCTGCAATGTAGGGGAAGCAATGAAGAGGGACCATAAGATGCAAACAGACACCTATGAACATTACAGAAAATAATAACTATAATTATATGGAGTAAATCTCAATGTATTCATGTGAAGAATTCTCTTCCTGAACCTCTTTCTCATAATAATGATATTAAAATTAACCTATCACTGACTTAACAAGGATGTAAAACAAGAGTACAAAGGTGAACCTGTTTCTGCTCACTTCACTGTGATCCTACAGAGACAGGAAGAAGGGGGCGGGCTTAAAAACACAGGAAAACGCCCAGGGGAAACTGGAAGCAGGACAGCAGCATCAAAACAACTGAGCCCTGAATTCATTCAACGTGGAGATCTTTTAAAGAAGATGCACACTGGGTAACCACTTTGCAACTATTAAGTCTACACCCTTTCCTAGTCCTGGTAAGCTACTGAATAGTCCTTCTAGAACAAAGCTGAACATATTGTGAGGGTGTGATGACATGAAATTACTCAGCTTCTCATATTTCTCTGAGGTACACATCTAATTTGTCCACGGGCTTATTTCGTGCAGGCACTCTTGGTGATTAGTTAACTCAATACAGCAGGACTGAGCTGCAAATGACTTATTCAGAGGAAAATGATTATGGGGAAATCTCTGAATTCCACATTATTTGAACTCTTATTCTAGGCTCATTTTTCAATTTCTATCAAATACTATATAAACTTCCATTCTCTTTGGAGACAAAGAATGTGTCTCAGTAATGTAATTTTAATATCCACACACCTGAACAAGTTCTAAAACAGAATCCCAAAGGGAAAGCCCCTACACTATTACTGAATAGCATGCAATTATACAATGGTTTCTCATTATCATGCCTTCTTAGCTTAAAATTTTTAATGCACAAATAATTAAGATACAATGAGAGCTCCATAAATAATCAGTGCGACAAAATACACCTTTTAAGCAGAGGTAAGATCTGGTATCTAGGGGCTGGAGAGATGGCTCAGCAGTTAAGACCACTGAGTGGTCTTCCAGAGGACTGGGGTTTAATTTCCAGCACTCACATGGCAGCTCACAACTGTCTGTAACTCCAAGATCTGACACCTTCACACAGACATGCATGCAGGCAAAACACTAATATACATAAAATAAGAATAAGTTATTTTTAAACAAAAAAGATCTTGTATCTATTATTTCTTCACAAATAATACATTGTATTAAAAAAATCATGATCAAAATGTACAAACTCAGTTTTTGTATTCACCTAAGTAAATGCAACAGGATTAAGCCCACAGTTTAAGAGTCCTTGTAGCACAGAACTGTAAGTACTTGAAAGTAGGAGATATTTTCCTGCTCTTAGCTTTTATCATGTTTAAAACATCTCAGTATGGCATATCCTCCTCCGGTCCACTTGGATTACTTGGATCCTGACAAGCGAATGTCATAGAAACTATGACTTCTTGACAACTGACTGGGTGTGGGGGGCTAAGAGCTGTGTCCTGGAGCTGCGGCTGCCCTCTCACTGCCAGTCAGCTCAAATAGGAACTATTACTGGGACCCAGTAAGAAGGTGCCACACTGTCTTCTCACCCGCACTCAGAAACTAGTTCCACAGATTAGCAAACCTCACAGTAATCTTCATGCTGACATCCACAAGCTGAAGGTCACAGCCTGTGAGCTAGCACTGTGGACATAAAGACACTATGCAGGTCCTCACAAACAACTGAAAATATGAAGTACCTGGAACTTCTGGTGCCTTCCAATCAATAGCCTTTCGGATCTAGAGGGAAACTGTCACCTTGCCTGCATGCCCATATACATCAAAAAGAATGAAACCAAATTCTCATTGCTTAAAAACTTCCAAAGTACACATTTATCAAGTGAAAAGAAGCAATATAAAAATAAAAGCCAGCATTTGAAAACATATTATTCATGCTATCAAATAAAATACGTAACTATTTGTACACATCTTTAAAAACATGACCTAGCAAGAGCTACGGCATAGCTCAGTTGTAAAGTGCCTTCTGGCATGTGTGAGTCCTGTATCTCATGTCCTGTGCCACAGAAGCATGCATCATGATGAGCCAGCCAAGGTCCACCGACACCCCTAAAACCACTCTGTGTGGCCCAGCAGTGGGCGGCAGCCCTCCTCTGCCTCATCCACGTACTCTGTGTGCAACTGCAGGTACATGCCTGACTGTGTGTGTGCAACAACTGCAGGTACACGCCTGACTGTGTGTGCAACAACTGCAGGTATATGCCTGACTGTGTGCAACTGCAGGTACACGCCTGACTGTGTGTGCAACTGCAGGTACACGCCTGACTGTGTGTGCAACAACTGCAGGTACACGCCTGACTGTGTGTGCAACAACTGCAGGTACACGCCTGACTGTGTGCAACTGCAGGTACACGCCTGACTGTGTGTGTGCAACAACTGCAGGTACACGCCTGACTGTGTGTGCAACAACTGCAGGTACACGCCTGACTGTGTGTGCAACAACGGCAGGAACACGCCTGTATTTAGATTGCTCCCATTAATAAACACAAAACCTAAGACTATGAAATGCATAGGATTCTAGATACACTTCTGAATATTCCTCTCAGCAGGGGGAGCTAGCACTCTCATCTTGAAGGTCTACCATATAGGATGGAAATTAAATTTTTGATTCCAATTATAAAATTTTAGAATGTTAGATTATCCTACTAAAAATCTCCACAAAGAAAATTATTTCAGATTTGAAATTTACCTTTGTCTTGAAATTCCTGAAGATAGCTGCAAAATTTAAAAAAAAAAAAATTAAATGTGGTTGAAAAATCAAAGAAAGGTCTAATTAATGACAATAACTCAAATCCAAAATTTATATTATAAATATACATCTAGAGAAAACACTATTTCTGTACTGAAATGACAATTCCAAGAGACTTGGGAATTTATAATATATGCATTTTTATAGGTTTAAGTATAAGAGAATTAAAAAATACATAATAGTAGAATATATATCTTTAATATCTCTAATATATTACATTTAATTATTTAATGCAGTAGCAATTTAGAAGATTTTCTTTTTCAAGGTCTGATGGATAGTAAAACCCTCAAATATGTCCTCGGATGCTCAAAATAAACACAATGTTTTGCTAACATACTTTTTAAAATTACATAACTATAAACAAAAAGGGTATTATAATTGCTTAAAACTACTGTAGTAGAAATATATTTTGTCCTTTACAAATAACATTAATAAATCAGCACATAAGCATTAATTACAGTTATTTCTGAGTAAGAAATTAGTATAAAGGGCAAGTGACTTACACAGACTTTATATTAGTATAAAAGGCAAGTGACTTACACAGACTTTACATCTTTTATCTTCTTAATGAGCGATTCTCTCTTTTCCTTTGCTTTCTTGGATAAATTCTCCCCTTTCAGTGTATCTGCTACAAATGTTTCAACATCTAAACCATGAAACAGAAAAACAGGATACAAATTACAGAAAAGAACCATTCCTTGTGAAGACAAATAGATCAATGATTATTTCTACACTTACGTGTTAATATCTGTGCAATCTATGGTAGTTATTTATCAGTCCAAAGCATAACAGTTGAAGTATGTTTCAAAAACTAAGTTGAACAAATCTGTTCACCACTTAACTAAAAAAAAATCTGTATATTCTACTGATGCTTAGCATAGAAAATACTATTTGGATGTTTGGCATTATTAAACTAGGAAGAAGCATACAAGTTTTAATAAACTATGGTGCCTCATAAAACAAATTTGCTTCTATAAAGCAAGTGGAACACTTTTATGCATGTACTACCATCGCTTTATAATTATTTTTAAGTTGCTATAAGAACAAGTCATTTGCAATATTTTATAATGATAAGCTAAAGTCTCTGGCAAGAGCGTGTTTTTCTCAGTGTAATCCACTTTCAGGAACACATAATATCTAATGCTGAAAGGAAGAAAATAAATCCCTTTTTTTCTAGCCAAGATTCCCAAAAACCTGCCCCACTCGTGCTGGCTATGCAAAAGTCAAAAGACAACCAGTTATGTGGTTATGTGAGCCCTTGCTTCCCATCCTGCTGTCAGCCACCTGGAATACTATTTAGATAAGGAAGTGAGAAATGGGTTATTCTATTATTTAAAAATATAGTGTCTAAGAAATAGATTTCTATGGCTTCATGTAACATTTCCCGAGTCTCTTCTAAAATTTTAGTAAACTCCTAAATATTTTGTTGACTAATACTCTCTCCTGTAAAATTCCAAGAAGTCCTTGTTGGTTTGATTCCTAGACGTCCATTCTTATTTAATTCATGAAATACTGGGTAGCTTATACATGTTTTATTTTTAGAATTTCATGGCTCATTTTAAAATATCTCTTAGAGAATTACATTAAAACTTTAAGCATGACTACAAAGCACCACATTTGGTACTGGAAAGATGTGTGTCTTACTTTCTTTTTATCTAACTACTTTGTCTCTTAATTTAGATCAAAACATAATATTACACATAAGTAATAAAAAGTGCAATAATCTCAAGTGTATTACAATAAGCCATTTAAAACCTAAATATACAGAATATAATGCAATCAATTTTAAATTCTTGATTACAAAAAGTATTTTGCTCCAATGAAGAATATGGATTAAGATGTTACAGATTCATAATAAGTACACAATTTTTTGCTAAACCAATAAACGCAAAGGAAAAATAAAATTAAAATATGAAATTCTCTCTTAAATAACTTCTAGTTTGAAACCCAGAAACAACAAATACGTTAAAAGCAAGTAGCAAAATGAAATGAAAGCAAAATGTCCTGGCTCCGCTTTCCTTCTGTGGCCCTTAAATTAGGGAGAAAAGAGGCATTGTCAGAGGCCAGTGTACGTGGGACAACTTTTCAAGTGGGTTCAAAACAGTAAAACTTGGTTGCAGCAGTTTCTACCCACAGGAGCAAGCCTCCTTTGGACAAGCATACTTCAGCTTAAAGAGAAGATCATTGGTTTCCCAGTAACTGTTTTTGCTAGCTCTCTCCCAAACTCAGCCTACACTTGCAAGACTCAGGGGCACATAGACTGGTAAACAGTCTGCTTAATGTTATTTTCACTCAATGTTTGTCTTTAATTCCCTCTTCCATGAGTATTTAATTGCCTATTTTACATTTTCATTATGCAATCCCAGTTTAAACAAACAGGATCTATCTTCTATCTCCGGAAGCAATAACAGAACGAATTACTGCCCGAGTTATTTCTTTAAAAGGTCATTTCAGTTTTCTAAAAACTCAGAAAACATTACAAAAAGGCTGCATGCTCTATGCAATGTTTCCTAAAAGCCTCCCCAATATGTTCTGAGGATGCGAACCCATGCCTCTATTTTGAGAAAACATTTGTAGAAAGGGTATAGGGAAAAAAAAAATCTGTATTTCTCGAGAGGAGGACTAAGTACGGAAAACATCTATACTTTTAGAAAAGTAATTTTAGTATATTTATTCCCAAGCTTTTCCCTAGAAAAAGGCTTAATAGCAACTGGAAGGATTTTCCAAGCATTTGGCTTTTTTGATAATTCTCCAACGAGACGCAGAAAAGAAACTGCTTTGCTGGTGGTGGTGTTTAACAAGAACTTTAGCTGGGAAGGGCTGTGATAATATGATTTGTTGGTTGCCGAACAGCCTTGGTTGGTATTTAAGTTTTTCAAGTCCAGGGTGCTTCTTAAAATATACACCGCGTCAAATCTAACGGATGGAATCGTAGCCTGTCCTGGCAGCCACAGCGGTGCTGCGCAGTTCGCCGACAGTGCTCCCTGGGGCTTTTGTCAGCTCTGGAGCAGGAACCAGGGACAAGGCTGTCCTGGGGTGCCCAACCTTGCCCCCAGAAACCAGCCCAAACCCAACCAGACTTAAACCTCGGGGTTCTTGTCCACATAGCTGGGAGCGGAGAGCTGGGCGCAGAATGCTGAGCTTGGGGCAGCCACGCCAGACAAATGGGGTTGGATCTGAGGCTTTGTACCTCAAAGCCAGAGTAATATTTCAAAAGCCAGCAATAAAACTCTTGGGTAAATCAAGGGCTCCTCTGGCTGGTTGGAAAAGAGATTTGAAGCTTTTTATTGTGCTCTAAATAGCCCCGCAAATGGTAAAGAAGCCTATTGCGCGGTGAGCCAGCAAGCCGCTGTGGCCCTCTTTTACCTTCCTTTAGGGGTCGTGTCCTTCTGTTCATATGTAGATTTCGCTGACTGCTTTCTGCCTGTAATTCGGGGAAACGTGGTAATTTGACTACAAGAAAAGGTCAGCCAGCGCAAGACTGGCCACTGGGCCCAGGGACTGAGACTCCCTTTTTCTCTGAGGTGAGTGAGGTTTTATTTTACCAACCGGCGCCAGCCACGGAAAAGCAGGATGGGGGAGGCTACTGGCTCCTGCTAATAAAGCCTGGGAAAGAGGTTGCCACCAACGCAACAGATCCTATGGTCCCCTATCTCTTCTTACCCTCTGCAGCCTCAAAGGCTACAGGTCAGCACAGCCTGCCGCCGAATCACCCCCATTTCCATGGGCCTCTAACCACAAGTTGGCAACAGGAAAAGGTTATCCTAGTGAGTGGTGGGAAGTTTGCTCCTGTTACACCTTAAGTTTGTCAAGAGTAAGCCATCCAGTGGGAACAGCTGTAAAGATCTGGAGCAAGGCAGCTGAAAGATCAAATTTACAACTGTTTTGTACATAAATGTTAAGGTCCGAAAACAAAATTTTAAAAATTATGTGTTCTGCTCAGCAATCTTTATGCAACTAAGGCAGAGGCCACTCAGCAGACATATGACCCTGAGAGGCAAGAACTCAACACTCTACCCTCTGAATCCTACTTCCAGTCTCCTTTTTGTTTCCTTTCTTTTTCTTTGTACATATGAACCCCTAGAAAAATTGCCACTCTATCTTCCTCTAGAGCAAATGAGGGCAGGTGCTACGGAACAGCCTAGAATAAGACCGGCAGCCTGGAGAACAGGTCACAAAGGTAACCCCCCTCTTCTGTCCACCTAGACACACGCACAACACAATCACACACACACACACACACACACACACACACACACACTCCCTCCCTCCCTCCCTCCCTCTGGGATGGCCTGAATCTGCCTGAGAGAGAAAACAAGAACTGGGATGGCACCACCACCACTCGCTAAGTCCCAGGTCAATAAAATAACTGTAAGAACCAATCGTGGCACCCCAAAGGGCTTTACTACTTAATTCCAGATGTTTTCCTACCTTATGGTGTAAACCAGGTTTTACTTTGTGTTCTTTGAGCTGTCAGTCATCCAACTTAACATGTTAACTTAAAGCCTACACTTTCAGCTGCCATCAGAACAGAACAACACTTTCTTTTCTGTTAAAGCAGGGAATGGACTGACCAAAAGCTACTGGGGAAAATATAAAAATCAATTAAAGTGGGCACATGCAGATCAATGGAGCCAAATACCCCAAGTTGGAAAAATGGCTAATTGAAAAGTTATTGATTGTTCTGGTCAATGCCTTCCCCTGGATTACCTTGCACTTTTGCATGTTACAGCTGAACTGGGGGCTTTTTAAACATGGAAAAAGACATGAAGGAGCACAGATCTCTAAGTGTATCTGTGTTTTATAATCCAATCAGCTACAAAATTTTCAAAACTGGCTTTACTCGATAAATGGTTTATTTTGGTAAAAAGCTGATGATGAAAGATAAGTCTGGCCATCTTTCAATCTCTTAAGATTTATCTCATCAAAACCTTTTCACCACACATTTTCAAAGAAGCCAAAATAAGTAGTAACACATTAGTCTGAGATTTACACTATACCCACACCACTGTTGGGTAGCATCTATTGTAATGTGTTCAGAATGTGATTGAAAAGAAATGTAAACTCAGTGAAATGAAAAAGATAGACTTGGCTTTAATTGAAAAAGACAAACTAAATAAATAATGAGTATATAAAACCTAGCCTATGCCACTTTTATCACCCATATAAGACAATTAATGTTCAATTTATGAGAGACAACTGAACTGTGTTTCAAATCACCAGAGGCTTTCCTTCCCCTGGCATCCGTACCATCTTTCTACAAGTACGTCAAAGCAAGCAAGTATCAGCAGAGATAAACATACTTGGAAAGCTTACAGCCTGCTCATTTTTTAAGGACATTTAGATGTTTTGAAAGAAACTAATGCTGATTAAGATTAGATTAACTATCTAAATGTTCATAAAATCAAGAGACTTACTTAATAATCCAAGGCAAAAAATACTTTCAATGTAAAGCCATTCAAAAATAGCCCCCAGTAAGGAAAAAGAAGGCATTTTACTCATAAAGTAATAGATAATAAATTTCCCAATACTACATCTTTGTTTACAGATACTATTTGAGCCAGACAAAATCCCGATAAACTTCTGGTCCCTTGATTTGCAAACTCCTATCCCTATTTGTAGAAGAAAGTATTTCAGAGATGCCATAGGCTGATTTCACTTTCAGATCAAATGTTCTCTTATCAACTTTATACTCATTAGCTGCTGCTGCCAAAATGGGGCAGGCTTGCTCTTGCTCTGTTGGGATAATCCAGGTACTAAAAAGTAGGTGACTATTGGTGACTCAGTAGGTGGCACTCTTCCCTTTGCATACTCAGCCAATGCTCCAGAAGGAACACGAGATATACCATAAATAATTCTCAGACAGAAAATAAAACCAAAATGTTAACCAAATTATAAATAGGAATTGAAAAGGTGGAAACAAACCATCCTGTGGTTGGCACTAAAAACATCCTATCTCGGTTTCAACTGAATTGCATTCTTAATCAAGTGTCCCTAAAGGGATTATCAATTACACTGTGTGAAGGTCTAAAGAAAAGAAAAAAAAAAAATGTTCTGAAATCCCCAATAGGGGGAGAAGGGGCAATATTTCTAATCAAAACTGCCATCTGAACAAAATCTCAAGGTCACTTTGCTGAAACCATATTGTCACTTTGTTATGGTTTGGTCAGTTTGATTTTAATTTTTCAGCATACTGATAACTACTTTCTCCTAATATTGGTTTTATCTTCTAATTTATTAAGAAGGTAACATGCTTTTCCAACTTTCCTTTTATTTGTTGTCATGATATGAATGGATGGGAGTCTGAATATTTGACTGCAAACTACCGACAAACCCATATTTAAAGGGTAATTAAACAAATGAGAACAGCAGGCGGCACTCCCAGAGCTGCTCACCTTCTTGCCTGCCAGAGGAGAAATCACATAAATCAAGACCATTTTTGCTATTAGTCCTAGTCAAAATATTTGGGTATGGGGTAAGATTAAATGGCCAAGACTTGGGTCTATCCTTTGGTTTTAATTATCCAAGATAAACCTGTTCTTCCATTGTTGGGGAGGGGGGTTAAAGGTTGACTCAACAAAATGTTATATAAACTGTTCTAAAAAGAAGAACTGAACATTTCTTATTTTTAAAAAATATAGGCCTTCAATTTTTAGTGTATTGATGCTATAGAAACTGTAACTGTTTAAACTATACTGTCATTTTTTCAAGGGTATTATTAATTGTGGGTTAAGCATAGTAACTTTAGTTTTGCATTCCCAGACAGTGTTTTTAAAGATGAAAGGAATAAGGAGGGGACAAATACTGAAATGGCAGTCTAAAGCTACTATGAGAAAGCAAAACAATGACAAAGAAAAAACATGATTAAAAAAAAATACATTTGAGCACCTATCTCCATCAAGCAAATACTGAACGTGTATGACATATGATGACTCAGATAATGAGCATATGAAACATAAAACCAAATGCCATTTTTCTTCCTTCTGAAAGCAGAGGGTTTTAAATTCTTGTAAAGGCTGGCTCCTTATCTAATTCACACTGTGCCACAAATTTTAAGAGTCTTAACTAATTACAAGTACCAGGATCAGAATCTCTTCTTCAATTTAAAGAAGAATGTACTAAGTAAGTCAGCAATATCTCTAAAACCCAATCAGTTAAAACACTTAGCTCTAATTTTACAATTCTATATTTAATCATGTACTATCACCCAAACACCTGAGTGATGGAATCGTCAACCTGCATCCCAATAAGATTCAAGGGTGACATCTAGTCTAAAGATGTTAATGAAACATAAAACCTTAGCCATCTTTGAATAATTAAAAGTTGTTTTAAGCCGTGAAGAAGACTAGCTCACTTGTTTAATTCCTTTACTATATACCATATCCATGAGCATCTTCTAAAATAAAGTGTAAGGCAAACTTGCAATCTATAAACATTTATCGTTTTAAGATTTGTTTTAACCCCCATGCATCTTATAAAAAGATAATTTCAAAAACTGTGCTAGTACAACCTCTGACTTAACAGACCGCAGAAATATACAGAAAGTTAGCAGTAGCAGATAAATGTGTAATTCTGAGCTTTGGTTTACATGACACAAGAGAGAGCCACAGAAAACACTTGTAATCTATGAGGCTCAGAGAGTGATGGGCCTTACAGTTCACACAGCATACATACTATGCTAGAAGTATAACTGTGAATCCATATGGTAACTTGCTACTAAGGGAGCTGTCAAGCTTTAAAAGCTAAACAGAGGTATTTTTTAAACAAACAAAAAAAAATGGACCTGGAATAACTAACCTGAAAACAATAACAATTGTGGAATAAAACAGTTTTCGTGATCTAGTTATTAAGATACTTTTCTAAACATGCAATTCCAGAAGATGACCCCCCACAAAAAAAGTTAACTATAAGTAAAACAAAACTGATATTCCTATAAGTGCCCATATGATGAAAAAAAAAAAAAACGCTTCCTTATATCAGCATCAATAGGTCTTTCATCATTTCTTCATGACACTCGTTAATGACAAGAAGCATTTCTCAGAGTGACATAGTACACCATCATCCTGCATCATGCTCATACGAATACAAGACTGCATCCATACATGTACTTGAATTTTTCCATCATCTTCATGATGCACACAACCCAACAATTTAACAAGGTATTATGACGCTTGCTCTCACACTATTGCAACAGTAACTTATTAGTTGAATTGTGACATTTTAGGTGGCCTCGCTTTTTAACAATTAAAGTACACAACTTACAACATCTAGGAGAAACTTTTTAATTCAGTTATCCATGATCAGTATTGGAAGAAATTTTTTAGAGACAGCCAAACTAAAATTATTCCATTTCCAGAATTCTGACATCTACAAGACAAAGTATATAATGGTATCCAAGACCATCAGGATAGGGAAGCCTTAAGCTACTCTAAAAAGGGGTATTCTCTACTTGATACAGAACTATAGAGCTTTTCTTGATCCTTAAGTGGAAATACACACCTCCATACATTGCTAACAGTAGGTTCATAGTAGCACTAGGAACCACAGTTCAACTCTTCAAAGTTCCTATAAATGGGAATGTAAAACCGAAAAGGGGAAGATGATGGTGCAAAAGACGAAGTTCTTTCATCACGTGACACAGGAAGTCGGACTTTTAACACATCCTTCCCTTTTCCCTTTAATAGTTACTGAGGCTGGAGGCAGTGGCCATTTGAAAATCAGGCACACTTCAAAAATGTAAACATGTTTGACCTGACTGTTCAAGAGAAAGATCTTTTGGAAACAGCACCTTTGCACTTCCTACCTCCCAACACCTGCAGCCCTACAGTGTCCTTGCTAACTAACAGCGGCACCCCTCCCTCCTGGCCCGGCCGCCCAGGAACTAATGCCTGCAGTTCTCAAGCATGCATTCAGCAACACTTGCTGCCCATCTCCCGCCCTCACTTTCGGGTCTCTGGGAAACTCGCAACTCCCGGCTCTCGGGGGAGGATCAGCACGTCTCAGCATACACGCCCACTCCCTCCTGGTCCCCGCACCCCGGCTCCCTGAGCCCCCGACTCGGCACGTCCCCACGGCGGGCAGGTGAAGGCTGAGCGCTTCTGTCCCCCCCGGCGCGCCGGCCCGCGCCCCCGCCCCCAGTGTCACCGCCCCCTTCCCGCTTTTTACCTGCCAACAGGTTCCTAATTTCCTCCGGGAGGAGGCCGGGGCAGGACGTGCTGCTGGGGTTGGGCATGGCTGTGGCCGGGCCCTAGACTCGCGCTGGCCGTCCGGGTGAGCACGACGAGCCGGGACACGGCCGGGCCGAGGCTCGCAACAAGGAAGTCCCTGGCTCTCCAGCCAGCAGTAGCCGGACCCCGGGCCCCGCCCCGCCCGGGAGAACGGGGCGGGGCCACGGGACAGGGGGCGGGGAGAACGGGCTTGGAGCCCGACTGCGCTTGCGTAGCTCGTGCTTTCTGAGAGTCTAAAGAAAGCGCCTCCGGGCAGGCCACGCCCACATGCCCTCCGGGCAGGCCACGCCCACACGCGGAGGGGCGCTGGAGGCGGGGCCGCAGAGGGCAGGCAGCGGATTGGAGCGCTGTCACCTGACGGGCCTTGAAGTGCGTCCGCGCCATTTTTGGTGCTGGTGCTGCAGACGCCCCTCGGTCTGCCTCCAGGGTTCCGGGAAAGGACGTCTCCGCGGTGCTTCACGCTTACCTGTTTAGGGACCGTCTGAGCAGTGGTCGTTCCCACCGGGTCACGCCTTGTCTGGTGGCCCACCAGCAAGTGCCCACCACCACCCCACTGGCATGACCGCCTTTGTCCAACTGTTTGAAGCCAATAAAGTCTCATTTCCGCCAGTCCTTCCTGAGAGCCCCAAGCAAACGGCGGAGCGTTCTGATTGGCCCTGACAGTACTTTTCTCCCTAGTCTTGGAGTGAAAGATTTCCCTGGCTCTGATGGAAGTCCCAGACATTATCCATTTGGGGGCGGGCACCCAGAGAGTTAAGTTGGTACTACTAGTAATCCACCCGTACCGCTGTCCACCTGTATTTTTTAATTGCTAGTAGTGATTAGGAGAATAAATATATAAAATATGTTTTCTTTCATTTAGTCAGCAAAGACTGGGCCTTCTGTCATTAAATGGTACAGGTTTAATCTAAATCCCAAGAAGACAAGTTCTGGCTATATCTTGTGTGTGTGTGTGGGTGTGTGTGTGTGTGTGTGTGTGTGTGTGTGTGTGTGTGTGTGTGTAAATGATAGCATTCAAATGCCATTAACTTTTACAATCACTTAAAACCTACTGTGTAGAAGTGCTTGTTATCAAAGCAAATGAAGCTACCAGAGTCACTGAAGAATAGGGAAGAGGCTGATAGGAGTCTTCAAGTAGATACTGACAAAGCAAAACATTTTGAGTGTCCCCTGTATACTTGTTTTGGTAAATTTGTGCTTGGAACAGTGGCTACTGAAATGCCCCAAGTTGCACCGTCCATCTGTCCTTTGGCACATCATTTTCAAAATGACACACGAACATCACTTTACCCACATTTCTCTTCATAGAGACAGTGGCTATCGTTTATTATTTCTCCTAGGTACAAATGTTGTCAAAGCTCCAATCAAAATATAAATTGCTTATTCCTGTACACTCCAGCTTCTTTTTTAAATATTGTTCTATTTTCAAGACAGGGTCTCACTGTGTAGTTCTTGCTGTTCTGGAACTCACCATGTAAACCAGGCTGGCCTTGAACTCACAGAGATCTGCCTGCTTCTACCTCAAGAGTGC